TTTCTTCTTCTATTTTATCCCTTTCAGAACCATTATCACATATATATGAACGTATGAATCTTCCATCACTGCCAATGGTATCACACATAAAACGAGCTTTTCTGACTCCAGCTTCCAAGATCACAAAGAACGTGATCTCAATACGATATTCTCGTATTAGTACGCATACGTATTCTCGTATTAGTTCACATACGTATTCTAGTATTAGTACGCATGCGTATTCTCGTATTAGTACGCATGCGTATTCTCGTATTAGTACGCATGCGTATTCTCGTATTAGCACGCGTGCGTAGGTATACTTTCATAATATGCGGATATGGAAAAACGCTTTGTTCTCATTCTGCCGGTCATAAAGGGTTTTTTAAAAAAGGAAGAAACAGAAAGAAAACGTTTTGCACAGACGGATTAAGCCTTCTTCTGACCAAAAAAAGAAATAATAAAAAAAGAAAATTCCACGGATAAACAATCAGAACTCAATGGTTAACTCTTAACAAATGTGCTTTTGAACAGTAATTACAGAGTCGTTTCTCTAGCGAAATATCTAAACGGAGTGTATCAGAATCCAAAAGTCCTCTTGTGAAAAACAATCTTTATGACATCTGAAATATAGAGTCCGTTTTCTTCTTCTTCAGAAAGCCGACAGGAGAACCTGTGATTATCCAGGCATGCGAATTCACATGAAAACAGTTCCCTACTCACACCCTCATCTCTCAGGTCGGGTATTACTGTTTTCGGACTTATCGGCGACATCTTTGAAACCATGACTTTTGATCGGCCCAGACAATTTTCTTTAAACCTCTCTTGTTAAGAAATGTACCTGCTATTGTATTATTTAAAAAGTCAGGTCCGGTTGGGATCTCGGTGCATGTCCGATGATGTCCACGCCTTCCGTTCGGCCCCATAGATCACGAAGACGGAAAGTGAGGTGTGGTGGTCCCCCTTCCCCCTCTTTTACATCTTCAGGTTGATTTTGTAGAGGGTTGTTTTTTCTTACCTGATGTTGAAGATAAATTTTACATTATTTTCATAAGAACTATTTTAGATAATAGCTTTAAGCCTTGCACTTTCATTTTCACACTCTGAAAAATCGATTCAATGTTAAATCGTAATATCGATATTTTAAACAATATTACGATGCAATTTATATAACGTGACCGACGTCCTGATGTTTATATAACGTCCTTGCTTGTCGTATTATTAGAAAGCCAACGTATCTTCAAAGGTGTTGGAATTACAAAAACTATTTAAAAATGCCGGAATATGGGTTATTATCTTTCCATTTGATCCGGCTGTGGGCTATATACATCCGGCTGTTTAACGAAGGGTTAAAATAACTTTAATTAAAATACTGAAAAGAAAAGTGTTGCTTAACTTTGTTCTTTTATTAAAAAAAAAGTAGATATTAAGTTAATAATTTATTTCTATTCATTTCATATCACTGCTTAGGAAAGATCTGAATTTTCTAGAATAATTTAATAAAATTTTAAATTTTATGAATCATGATTGTTATTAAAACATCAAGATCAATTTTTTTTCGTTTTTAATTTTAAATAATCTTCTTGTTTATGCAGAATTTAAAATTTTGAAAGCATAACATCGTTTGAAACCATAACTTTAATATAGCATTAGCTGTTGAAAAATTTATTGTTGAATTGTACCACAACCTTGGACCAATATTTCTAAGATTGTAAAGCAAAGATATATTTCCAGATGATCCAATCATAACCACAATAGAAAAGGGGATTTTCATTGATCAATACAGTTGTATTTAATTAAACTTTGAAACATAAGGTGTAGCAAACTTAAACGTTGACAACGTTTCGTAGGCTATTCGTTCTTGCAGTTCTCTTGCCTTCTTCAGGGTCATCGTTTAATTGTCATTGGTTAGTCACCACCCCCTTGGGGTTGAGGGGTCGAACCGTCATTCGTTCTCACGTTGTTACCTTTTGGGACTTTAGTCACTTACAAACAGGTTTTGTTCAAGTGTCGAGTTGTTGAATGAATGTTCACTATTATTCAGAGAAAATACACATGCGGTGTGCTTAGTTTTTGTGGTGTGGTGGATTTCCCTGTTACGGATAACTAAAATAAATTCTATCTCATGAGGTATATAACTTCACGTAAGTACATTATTTTTTTATAACGATATAATGAGCAATTTTTTAAGTGTTAAAGCATTATATATTTAGTAATAAAACAAACCATAGACTATTCTACAGAAGCATTTCATACGTGAATTTCAGTAAACAATCTGCATTTCTGAATAAATTCTGCTCATGGATTATTTCTTTCTTATCATTTATTTTAAACAGTAATAAATGTTACATTGATTATTTTTATTATTATCATTATTTTTATTATTATTTTTTTATTATTGTTATTTTTATTAATATTATTATTAATTTTTTTTCTGAAACTCTGTGTCTTTACTCATAAAAGCATGTATATTAATTAATATAGGAATATTAGTACGATATAATGAGCATTTTTTGCATGTTAAAGCATTAAAATATTTAGTAATAAAACAAAGAATAGATTATTCTACAGAAACATTTCATACGTGAATTTCAGTAAACTATCTGCATTTCTGAATACATTCTTCTAATGGATTATTTGTTTCTCATCTTTTATTTTGAATAATAACGAATGTTATATTGATTAGTTTTGGTTACATTACTTTTTTAATTAATAATGTTAATTTTTTTCTATTAATATTTGCGTCTTTACTCATAAATGTGTGTAAATTAATTAGTATAATAATGTTAGTTAAATAATCGAAAATACATTTTATATAATAGTTTAACTGTCGCTTCCGTGAAGTTCGGTAAAAAAAAAATCTTTTTCTTGAAATATATTCTGCTTGATTATATTCAATAATAAAAATGAAATGTTATATTAATTTAATCGAAACACATGTATATCTCAAAGAATATTCATTTATATGTTTTGCTTAATTTAAACGAAAATAAAATATTTTATTATAGAATGGTTGTGCAAAACTATAATGTTTCCGTTTTAAATTATACTTTATTTTTTTCTGATTATAACAATATGATTATAAAAAAAAAACTATTTTTAGTCTTTTAACATTAAACAATACTTTTTTTTTAACCAATAAACATTTTCCCAAGAAATAAATAATAATTTTAGTATGAAATAACAAATTTTTATTAACAACTTATGTTAAATTTATATTATAAAAATGCTTTATTTGTGAAATTGTCGGAAATACAGAGTATTCGTTGTAACATAGGCATCAAAGCGTATTTTAATTTTTGTTCTTGCTTTGCAATAATTTATTTGCTAATGAAAAACCAATAAAAATCGCCTTATTGAAAAATAAATTCCTTTATTTTAATATGCATTGAAATGAAAAAGAATTCAAAACTAACTTTTTCATGCTTTTTTTAAAGTTACCTTAAAAAAAATGATACATTTTTCAACTCAGATAGATAGGTACTTTATTTATGTGGTATTAGGGCTGCACAATGGGCTATTGGCGACAGTTTGGGAAACATTCCTGAGGATGATCCGAACATATGCCATCACAATTATGATCCTTTGCAGGGGAGGAGGCTCCTAACTTTGGCAGCCTGGCAACCTGTGCAAGAAGTCAAACACTTAACGGTAGAATATCTTAAGGAGGACCGATACCGCTCACCCTCGGTCCCTACGCAGGCTGATCAAAGTGGTCATCTATCTGCTGATTGACGGCAGCCAGTGAGGCTAACACGTGAATGGGTTAAATTTCTCTTCTATTATTTCAGAAAGTCAATTAATTATAAATTAGCAATAAATAAAAAATATGAAAACTTTTTTGAAGTACTATTTTCTTAGTACATTATATGCTTTTAATCATTGCTAAGTTGTTAACGACCTTAGAATTTTTAAAAAATTCACCACTCTTTATCAATTTCAAATCATCAGCAAAGTGCGAAAACTATATCTTATTATCAGGGCTAGAATGCTAGTAGCTTAAAAATTAAAAGAAAAGAAAAAATCAAAGAAAAACTTTTATCATTAGCATTGGAATGAAAAATATTGTCCTTAAAAGTTTTCTAAAAGATATTTTATAATAGCTTTTCAATTAACAAAAAATTATAAATCGCAACTTGTATTTATAAATTTATAAAAAAATGAAGCAATAATTTAAATAAATGCGTAATTTAGGAATGTAATGAAAAGTTAAAATATATATATATATATACATTTTTAAATGCTTTGCATTTTAAATGCATTGCATTTTTAAATGCTTTTAGATGTTCTTCAAATTGAAAAATTGCCTTTTATTTATTTGACNAATAATGATGCATAAATAGGGAATTAATTAGTTTTTAGAAATAAACTTCAAGAACATCAGAATTGCATTGCATTTTTAAATGCTTTTAGATGTTCTTCAAATTGAAAAATTGCCTTTTATTTATTTGACTTTTTTATGCATTTGCCCATTTGCTATTGCTAACAATGGTGGAAAATAGAAATAGCCTTTCTCAAAATGAATAAATAGCACTTCATTCGCATGCTTCTTATCTGTGCTGTGTCCAGTTTTCTTTTATGTTAATCGATAATCAGCAAGAAAATTTCATGTTAAACATGCAAAATACGATAATAATTGATTGCTGTCTCACGTGACCAAACATGTGTTTCACGCAAAGCGATATTTCATGTTCAGTGGTTTCGCGTTAGTGAGGCTCGATTGAAAATGATTTAAAAAGGAAAAAGTCTGAAAATTGAAAAAAAAAAAAAAAAACATTTATTGTTAATATCCTAGCCCCAGTTTAAAACTTATAACAAAACGTGACATAAATTACAAGTTATAGCTTGTATCAATAGACAGTTAATACTGAATTCAACCAACCAGCCACGTTTTTAATATGTTACTAAGCAATCAAAATACAAATGTAGTTTTTAGTGTTCCTCAATTGCAAATATTGTTATTGTTTGTGTTACAATAATGAGTTCTTAAATAAGATTAATTATAAAATCTCCTCAATTTTTAGCTTTGGACAAATTGGGATATCGTCACTTGTACAATTGCCATCAAGTGGAAGTAGTGCAGCCCAGTATTGCTTTTGATGTTGCATCTCTGTTGCTCTATGGTACGCAGGCCATACCAGTGCGATTGAAGATACTGCTGGATAGGCTGTTTAGTGTATTGCAGCGAGAAGAAGTTTTACAGGTGCTTCATGGTTTTGGATGGACCTATGAAGATTATGCTAGAGGATATATAGCACAAGTAAGATAATTTTGTTTTACATATGTGAGTGAAAATATAGAGTGTTCACGAAGTTTCCCAACAGCTTAAAGCACTTATTGCAAAAAAAAAAAAATTCCTTTACAGCTCTTATTGAAAATAAATTTGGACACAGTTCGAAATATGCGTTTACGAAAATGGACACAGTTAATAATGCGTATTTGCGAAAATGGATATAACTAGTTCTAAATACGTGTTCGTGATTTTTTTTTTTTAAGTGCACGAGATTAACTTTCTAAGTAGAGCTGTGGTGTCAGAATTGAAAAAAAATTTGCTGGTCACTGAATTTAAAAAATTCACTCTTGACTCTTGAAAAAAATTGTCCTCATGAACCTTTTCATGCAGATATTTATAAATATGTAAATAAAAAAATCGTTCGAATGAATATTATTTTTAATTATTTCCAATGAATATTATGATGATCAGTTTAAATGTGAAGTGAAACTTAAGCAAACTTGAGAAAATAAGATTTAGAATGTTTAGCAATACCAATAAAATGTCAAGAGTCTTATTCTTTTATTAAATCACTTCCTTGTTAGACTTATTAAAATACCTATATTTTATACTGTTTCTAGTTATTTAAACCAAAAGTTTAGACTATCTAACTTATATTCCATATAGTGATGAATTAGTTATGCATATAATAATTACACTAATTATTACACCATTTAGTGCTTCCACTGTGCTCTTTTCAAATAACATTTGCATAGAATATCTAACCCTCATAAATCTCGCTGATCATGTCTGGATCAATGATTTTGTAAATTCTTTCAACATATTTTTTTTAGAATGCTTATGTTAAATATTATATTTGTTCAAATATGAAATTATTCTCCCGATGAAAAGCCAGTAAATACATTTATCCGAGAAACGACCAGAGCATGGAAACAGATGGACCTCCTAACAGTTAAAGTATGCCATTCCTTAGTTCTGGTAGCCATCGTGTATCTCGAACAGCGGTTGTGGTCACCTTACACGAAAATCCCGTTTGCATTCGTCGTATTTTATGCAAATGTTGGCAGAACTGTTGAAAGCCTTGCGTCAAGAACGGCTTTTCCACGGAACAGAACGGGCAGCCCATTTCGCCATGGCCTTTGGGTCAATTAATTCTGATGGAAGCAGTTGACGGGACAGAAACTGGGTTGACTCGGACTTTTCGCGTGGGAAGAATATTGTTTAAGATGGGGGGCGCTTGTGCCTCTTTCGGACGTTGATGGCCAAACAGTTCGAAGGGTCAGTCACGATAGGCAAAGTGTTTTAGCGTGTGCACCGTCCACTTTGATGTGGATCGTGACGAAGGTCGATTTGGGATCTCTTGTGTCTGGACCATGCCTCCTGCTTTAAGTCACATCATCAACAAGGGGGTGGGGGAAAATGAATAAAAGGGGGGAAGTTACTTAATGGTACACCTTGCTGTTCGAACTTCAGAAATTGTTTGGCAAATCGCGATGGACAGGTTCTGTCCATTTGTTTCCGTTGATGGTGGATAACTGGAACCTGCATCTCTTTGAGATGCATGTCAAAATTTCAAAATTCATGTATTGGTTCATTGTTTGTCTTGTTTTTTATTTAGAAAAAAAAAGTTTGATAGTTTAGGTTAATACATAATGCTTTCTGGCACGCCTAGTTTCTGAAAGATTAACAGTTAAGAAAAATAGTCGTAAGAAAAATATCAATTTGTAAAATAGAATAATGATGTTACCAGAATCTGACTGCCAAATTTTGAAATCAATCAAAGCGAAGGTTAGATTTGAATCTTTAAAAAACAACCTGTTTATTAATCGGTTGAAGATGAAAGTGAAATCTGCTGGAATAGTTTAAAGAAAATCACAGATCCAGAGAGCATTTTTTTTTAAATATTTATTTTACAATAAAAAGAAAACATATATGCATTTAAGAGTAAATGTATTTAACCATTTAAGAGAGTGCATTTAAGCGTAAAAAAACGGTTAACCGAAAAGAAAAACAAAGTAAAGATCCTGAAAATATTTCTTTCTAATTTTTGCTCTGTTTTATTATATAATTGTGTACTAATATTTAATAATTAATTATTTAGTAATTAATCTGTTAATAAAATGTTTATTTAATAATTAATTTGTTAGTTTTAATAATAAATTTCTATATAATATGCTGCAATATTTTTAATGTCTTTGCAAATTTTAAAAAAAAAACTTTCGTTAATTTTTTTTAAAGGAAACCATATAAATTTGTAATTACATGAATCGTATAAGATGATAAACATTAGTTTACTATTCGAAAGGAAACTAAAGGTACGAAAGGAAAATTTAACTTTTAAAAATTTAAACATTAAAATAATAATTAAAAATATTGTGAAGTTAAAATAGAATAATTAAAAAAATTTTAATTTAGAAATGGAGCAAAAGTGTAATAAAATCATAGGTATTAAAACAATAGACATTATTTAGGCAATTTATCTGGGTATTATGGATTTAGTAAATTTAAAAAAAATATATATTTCTTGCTTTTGATTGATTTAACACAAAATGTTTTGTAATACATTTTTAATCAAAAATGAAACTAATTTGTAATTTCATCTTTGGTATGAAACGATGTTCATTAATGTCATATTCAATTGCAAGGCAATTCATCAGGTTGAAATATTTAAGGTTTTGCCTCGCATCATACGATCAAATGACCTTTACAAATGTCTTTTTAAAAGTGGCTTGCATCACATCTCGAGATACTAAACAGCATCGCTGCCCAGCTTAGCAAGTGGAATCTAAAATACCAAAGTGGTTATTAATTTTTCGTCATAACTCTTAATCCCATGAAAGCTCTTACAAGATAAGAAATTAATATAACCCTGGCGTGTACCTCTCAATTATCCGTCGACGTTTTAATGGCTATAGTGGAGCTCTGTGAGGAAAAGCCGATGTTCCAATCACATGCCGGGCAACTAGGGGATGCTCGATGACAAGCAATATGTTGCAGGCGTTGATATTTTTACTCTTTTTCGCATCTGTGTCTTTGTAGTACACAGGATCTGTAGGAAAACTGTTTTAGATTGCCTTGTGCCTGGACTTTTTTTCTTTTCTTTACAGTCTTTTAGTTTAAAGTAGCAAGAAATATTTACACGTCGCTGTCAGGGTTTGGGAAGATATGTTGGCTATTACCACACATGTCCAGAGTTGATGTCGTAATTTTTTGAGCGAAGGAATAGCAGCGGAACTATTTATAAGTCTTTTTCTTCTTCTTTGTCTTCGCCCGAGTTCCTGACAAAACTATTTCCCACCCACGTAAACAAAGGCCAATTGAATGACAGATGTATTGACTTCTTTTTTTTTTGTTAATTTTTATTTTATTTTTAAAAGTAGTCTGTCTACAGTTGGTTTTTTTTTAAGTGGTACTTTGTGTGTAAGAGAAGAGATAATTTTTTTACGTGTTGGCTTAAATGTTAGTGTGAGGAATCAGTTAATTAATATGTTAGCGCGAGGAAGCAGTTAATTTAAATGCTAGTGTGAAGAATCAGTTAATTCAAATGCTAGAGTGAGGAATCAGTTAATTAAAATGATAGTGTGAGGAATCAGCTAATTGAAATGCTAGTGTAATGAATCAGTTAATTAAAATGTTAGTGTGAAGAATCAGTTAATTAAAATGCTAGTGTGATGAATCAGTTAATTTAAATGTTACTGCGAGGAATCGGTTAAGTTAAATGTTACGGCGAGGAATTCGTTAATTAAAATGTTAGTGAGAGGAAGCAGTTAATTTAAATGTTACTTTGAGGAATTAGTTAATTTAAATGTTAGTGTGAGGAATTAGTTAATTTATATGTTACTGTGAGGAATTATTTAAGTTAAATGCTAGTGTGAGGAACCAGTTAATTTAAATGTTAGTGTGAATTTTACCTTTTACTTTTAAAGTTAACTTCCCATTAGCTACTAACTATTTTTCGTACTAAGAGAATATGTGGTATTTTTATATCAGGCATTTCCATAAATTATTTATATTTTCATGAAAATTCATTGATATATGAATAGTTAATTACAATATTGAAAATAATTAATAATATTAATAGTTGTTTTAATAACAATTTAGTTATAATTAAGCTATTTATGAAAATGATAATAATGAGTGATTAAAATAATCATGATTTCTTTTCTTGAGCGTTTCCCTCCTGTGCTTTTGAAACTGAAAGTAATTAGGTCAGATCATTTTACTGCAGACTGGTAAAAAGGACATAAACGTAATAAAATCAAATACATAGCAATATAGTTCATATTTTAAGAATATACATTGAAGCGTGGTAAGTTGACCCCTATTAACAAGAAATTTTTCTTTTAGAAAATGCAATAAAATTTCCCTGAATTAGAGAAATAGCATTAAAATCTAACCTAAGCCCCTTTGTGAGTTAACTACATGAGAAACTATGGAGAACTTTTGTAACAAATACATTTTTAAGTAAACATAACGAAATGAAATTTAAAATTCTGATTAAGTTGACGAACTTTTTAAGTTAACCATTAACCCTTTGAAGGAGAATTTATATTAATTATCTTTTTTATTTTTTTTTCATTATTTTGTATTAACTTTTGTCAAAATATGTTATACGTTATATTAAGCATTTTTTATAATTTATGGTTACAAAAAGTACATCAAGAAACACCGATGTCTTTTTCTGCATAAAAAGTGAAATATTCCAAACACAGCTCACTTCAAAACTATAATTTTTCAAATTTACAGTTATTAAGATTTAAGAGAAACGGTTATTAATTACTAATTTACGAAATCAATTATTGATAATTTTTAAATATGAATGAAAAAAGTATTTTTCAAACTAACTTTTTTCGGATTTTATATTGTAGTACAAATATAATTCTGATAGTATAACAGATTTTTTAGCAACTATCAGTTTTTATTTTATAATTAAAAAATACTAAAATATATTTGTGCTTTTAATTAGAGCGTCACAAAGAACTTAATAAAAGAGACACCGATGTACCATCGGCGTCAAAGGGTTAAAAAAATGTTCCACAACAACCTAAGTTTCCCCTGTATTTTATTAAGTAGAGTTTTCAAGAAAACCATCTCAAACGTAATGAAATTTTTTTTTTAAAAGTGATTCTTTCATTGTTTTTTTTTTCCTACTTCAGTTAGGGAGTGATTGTTTAAAACGCACGAGTTTCACTAAACGGAAACAGGATGTTTAATCCAAAAATGCGAGTGGCTTCTGACTATCCACTGTGTCTATGGGTGCCCCTCCGTTGACAAAGTGAGTGTTTATGGAAGAAGCACGGGCTCTGTTTATATTAAAAGAGGCTCTCTCTCCTCGTCATCGGGCTAAAAACTGTTGTGTTTATTTGCCCACCGAAGACAGACATCAATAGGCACACCACGTGTCCGTAGCTTCCGACGTGTCTTTTCCAGAACATCCGCCCTATTACGCCATTTTAACAGTGAAGTGTCATTTCTTGTTTGACTAAAAGCTAAATAGAAATGCTGGGTGTTCGTTCTTAACAAAGCAGCAATTTACATGTAGTATCTCTTAAACTCTCTGAGGATAGGAAATGCATATTTAGCATTTGAAGGTGTGTTTCACTGAAATTATTATCTGGAAAGGCCCAAGGGGAAGATGGGGACAATCGCCTCGCGGTCTGGGACTGTTAACTGCCCGGTCAAAACTTCTAGCAAAAATGTAGTTTTTTTCAATTCTTTTTTTTTCATTAGAAATTTCCGTGATTTATTTTTACATCTATATAAAGATTGTAATTTCGGATAAAGGTCTTCAAAAAAAGTCTAAAAAATATGGAAATAAAACTAATTGTTCTTTGAGGAAAGGGTCTGCTTTAAATGTCACCTTTTGGCCGCATAACCTGTGTCCAGCTTTGGCAATTAGATACAAAAAAAAAAAAAAAAAAAAAAAAAAAAAAAAAAAAAAAAAAANACTGGATACAATACAAACGCAAATAAAGATATGCACTTTTGTTATTTGGGGACATTGAAATCAGCTGGTTTTGTTTAATAATTTTCTAAGAGCACGGCTGTGGCGCACTATTTTAGATTTAAGTATAGTGGAAGGGGGAGAAAGAAGAAGGGAGAAAAAAAGATCAAATCAGGGAATCGAAGTATTAACAAATTTTGTGAATAGACATAAAAAGAAATTTTGGAAACTCAATATAATTTCACTGGTGGACGAAAAATAAGTATAATTTTACACATTTCCACATATACAAATTATACTAAGTTTCGGACACCATAGTACTTCACATGTCTATACATTCAGCATTTAATACAAACCAAGTTATTTTATTTACTGACAATTTCTGCTAGTTTGAAGTTTGGTATCAATTGCAGTTTTGAGTAGGCGATAATTTTCAAATCATGTAGAAACTAGATAATATTTGAGGAAAGTTTTAAAACATCTTCTGAAAGTTTGTTTTTAGCGGTGACAGGTTAATTTAAAACTTGAACTTAAGAATAACCAAGTATTTTCAAATCTCTTTTGTTATATGAAAGTTTTAATTAAGATTTGATTAGTCGGCCGAAGCCTCCCTGTGTAATAAATAGTGACTGGTGCATGTTAAATATGTCAGGTCGCAAAGTCCTCCATATTTCCGTAATAAATTATATCTCTGAGGGTCCTGAATTGAAGATTGATCGTTCTCTGGTTCAGGTCAAAATTACGATCTGTGGAAAAATGCATGAATGGGTCCGTCCCATAAACCAGTGTGGCAAAAGTCAAATTCTTGGTCATTAATGGCACCATTGGAAAACGACAACAAAACAAGATTCAATTTGTTATATGTTTTTTTATAGCATGACTAACAGTCTAATTTTATTCATCGTCCAATTACTTTGAATAAACATAAGTATTTTCGTTAAAGAATAAAAAAAAGTTAAACTTTGAATTTTTTTAAAATCTTTTCTTGAAATTCCTCTAATTAGTATTCACATTTTTTTCCAGGATCCATCTGGCACCGTTTTGGATAAGTGGTTACTAGCTTCAAAAGAAGAGGAAGTCTTCATTTTTCAACAGTTCCTACGCTTCTCTGAAACTAAATCTATTGCACAACAGTTGCTTTTGCAAGAAAGTGGTGACAAAATTGACTGTGTAGTTACCCCACCGGCTACTGAATCCGATATCAAAAAGTTTATTGAAAGGACTAATAACCGGGGCACACTTTTCAAGCATCATAGCAATAGTTTATACGATTCAACTATATATCCAGCTATGCCCTCAATTGTAAGCCCAAGTAAATCTTTATACAGGCATACGTCAAGTGTCAGCTCTACTCAGTCGAACATTAGTTCTACTGTCTCCTCGCCTATTGATTGCACAAGCCCAATTGCTTTATCACCTCTTAATAGACTGCAGAACATGCAACCTCATGATTATAGAAGAGATAGTCCAGAGTTAGTTCGAAGTGACAAAGATAAAATGTTGTCAGTTGCTGTTCCAGCTCACACCTCTCTGAACTCTCCAACTTCCGTCCCTAATATTTGTTTTACCACTTCTAGTCTCCCACACATCCCCAATACAAATAATTCCTATTACGTCAAAGCCAACTCAGAACGTAGTTTCAACGAGGAAGATGTTTCTGAAGACGATGACGGAGACAGGAGGAATGGTGCCATAAACCTGACTAGACATTCTCTGCCAACGAGCTATATGGACTCTGTTTATGCCGCCAAAAAAATCAGGCATTTGAGAAAGTCAGCCAATCCCATGAAAAGGAAATGGAATCCTACGGTTCTAGCTACTCTTGCTATGAACCCAGCTACTGGTAAGAAACGGGTTCAGTGTGGTGAATGCTACAAAACTTTTTGTGATAAGGGAGCTTTAAAGATTCATTACAGTGCCGTACATCTAAGAGAAATGCATAAATGCACAGTTGAAGGATGCAATATGATGTTTAGTTCAAGGCGAAGCCGGAACAGGCATAGTGCCAATCCTAATCCCAAATTACATACTCCAAATTGTAGAAGAAAAATTAACCCGCACGACGGGAGAACTGCCAATCCCTTTCCTGTTCCTCCAGGTACGTTTGTTGAATTTCCTAATAGTTTTGCTTCCTATCCTCCTGGCCAGATGGAAGGAGAGAGCAATTCTTTCTCCGATGATGATGATCAAATGACTATGGTTCCTAGGGTAAATTCTATGTATGATCATAACGTTAAAGGGTCTTCTCTAATAAAAACAGAAGACAGGTTACCGGAACCTGATGACGTGCCCCTATCTTTAACTAAAAAAATTCGAATGGAGGACGATGTGAACGAGCCATCAAAATGTAACATAAACGAAGGGATTGATTTAAGTTTGAAAGAATGTAGTTCTCGTAGAATAGCTGATGTGAAAGATAGTTTTTCAAAAGAAGATGTAAAGCCTGAACAGAACACATCATCTGAAGAAAAAGCTATAAATGCTTTTAAACAGGAGGATATAGAAGCTGATAAACCAACCACGGAATCAAAAGAAAATTTCAGGATGGAATTGGAAAACGGTAAAATGCATACTTTACCAAATAATCCAGATTCAGAAATTTTATGCTTGAAATCTGAAACCAAAAATTTCACTCCTAAGTCCCAAACTGATAAAGAAATCCGTGAAGCCAGCCATGCATATAAAAAGCTGAAACACTCCGATACTGAATCGTCTCTAATAACCAATCAAGCCAATATGCCATTGATGACAAAAGGTGTTCGGAAGCGTAAAAGTTTGAATCCTATTCGATGCCCTGCTGCAAGTGATGATGATTTGCCTTTCGTATCATCGGATGATTCTTCTAGCGACACTTATATTGATCAAGATAATGATGAGAATGGTTTGCTAGATTCAAAGTCTGATTATCTGACTTCTGATGGGTCAGACTCAATGAATGACTTAGATGAACTGGAAGACAACAGTGCAACTGGTGATAAAAGAGATTGTGCAAACTCTGTCAACAAATCATCCCAAGTGATGACTTCTTCTACTGTTAACTCATCACGGGCTTCAAACTTGAATGACGCCTCCGAACAACGTTTGCGTGACCACGAGCAATACAATGGTTTCTCTGTATCTGATCTCAGCAAGACAAAATCTAGTAATCAAATTAAAAGCGAAGATATAAGTGAGAATCCTCTGAGACATTTGGAATCTCTGTCATTGGGAGCTTTTACCAATATGCTGAATGTAAATAATAGGACTAATTTCAATCAAAGGGGGGTCAGTGTCTCAAGTGGTGTATCTTACCATGCTCCGGGGCTGGGATTAGCTTCTGTCACTACAACCACTGCTCCGAACCGTGCAGAATCTCCTGTTTCAGATGTGATGCCCACTTTAACTCAAAACTCAGTATCACACGCACCACCTCTAACATCAAGCTGTACTTTTAACAATAGTGACACCGATAACTCCATGTCCGAAAACCAACTGCCTATGGTACCGGTTTTTAGAGATGCATCCATGATAGGTTCTCTTGAAATACCTGTTGACAAGGAAAACCCTCGGCGATGCACAGCATGTGGGAAGATTTTCCAAAACCATTTTGGTGTAAAGACTCACTATCAGAATGTTCATCTCAAGGTTATGCACAAGTGTACGGTGGATGGTTGTAACGCTTCATTTCCATCAAAGCGGAGTCGAGATCGCCACAGTTCCAACATGAATCTTCACCGGAAACTGCTTTCGACAACTTCAGATAGATCAAATCTGTACTTCGACAAAGCCAGTGCAGTGTACCCCTTTCATACAGATAGTTACAGCAGGGATTTATTCTCCCGTTTTCATGAGCAAGGTCCTCATCCATTGGCAGCAATGGAATATTACAGTCGACTTCAGCATGATGGTGCAACCCCTACTTTTCTAAACCCGTACACCCACTTGCCAGGTGCGATTCCTGGTTACCATCCAGCTTTTTACAATACATCAGCTTATACGACTTTCAAGAACGATGCGACCACAAGGTACAATCACGAAAACAGTGGTCGCAATAGTTCTCTAAGTTCCATTAGCAACCCATCGTCTCCTGGGCCTTCCTCGGGAGGTTCTCCTAAGGAGCACTCATCCCATCAGAACTCTGTGAAGTTGGATGAAGAGTTATCTCCTGATCATGATGGGAGGTTCGTTTGTACGATTTGTGAGAAAAAGTTTCACGAGAGAGTTGTGCTTAGAGAACATTACGAAAAAAGTCACACAAAAGAACTTCTGGAATGTTCTACGAATGGTTGCAATAAAGTGTTCCTATCAAGGCAATCTAGGAATGTTCACAGTGATAATTTGCACAAAGACAAAAGTGTGGAGGATACGTAGTGATAACTGTAATTCTTGTTACTGCATGTAAAGCAATTCAGAAAAAAAAAATGTGCCAATGTAGTAGAAATTGTGAATTTGAATCATGTCCCCAACAGTTTTTTTATTTTTATTCATTATGATTTTTTAATTTTAACTCTGTTTGTTAGGTTAGCAATATGGAAAGTTCGAACATTTCGTTTTAAAAAATGTTGTTAATAACTAATGAACTAGTTAAATGCATACATGTTCTTAAAACCAGCAGCTAAGCAGTGTGTAAGTTTTTTTTATGGATAAGCAACATAACTTTATGCTATGAAAATTTGAAATATAACTCTATCCTTACAGTATTTTCCGCTTTTTTTTAAAAAGTATTTTCTTTACATTTTATAATATTTATCACTTAATTTACTGAATTAAAATATTATATAACAAGTAAATAGATTTTTTATACTTCAGGCATACTCTTATAATTATTTACAATCAGTAGGAAGTCATTGAATTTCCTTTTCCAAATTTAAATTGATACAACACAAGACACTTGTTTTGAAAATAAAACTGTTTTTAAAGCCAAGTAATTCTCCAAAATCAAATCTGTTCAAGGGATTGATGTAAATTATTCGGAAAATTTTGCTAAAATGAATAAAATTATGTAAAAAGGATTGGAATACCACAGTAAAAATTTTCATAAAAATATTTATTTTATAGCAGGCTTGTTTTTGTCTTATCATTTAATGTTTGATTGAAACACATAAGCATTGAGCATATTTTCTCAGAAGCATTCAAAATTTATAAGAATGTTTATTTAAATTAATAATAAAAGTATTTTAAATCATATTATGGTTATTGATACAATGTCCAACCTATTTAATATATATAATGTTCAAAATTAGTTTTCATGATAGTAGAGAGGTTTTATTTGTGTTTTTGATTTTGTTGAAACATTTGTAATAACTTGATAGACATTAAAGATGAATCAAACTCTTATTTAAGACCAATTTTAAATAATTATCACTCGATACATTTTTAAGTTTTAAATGAAATTACATCAATCTTACTATTAAAATTAATGCAATACAAAAGTGAATTAAGTGACTAAAGATGAAAAAAATCAAACTTCTTTTTAAAAAAAATATAAATTAGGTGAAGTCAGTTAAATAAAAGTTAATTTTTACTACAAATAGAGAAGAATTTTTATATAGGTAATACGTGCTAATCTGTTGCTTTTTCCTCAGATATAAAACATTTAAAAATCTTGAAGATTTTAGTTTTTAAATGTTAAAAAATTATAAGTTTAACTTGTAAAATGTTCAGTTGAAATTCTGTTCAAACATCTTCAATAATTTAAGCATTTATTACATTGAATGAATGTATTTTTTTGCTTTGAATTTGTTTAACCTTTGATTTGGCAGAAAAATACATGAAATTGTTTTTGGAAAAAAGGGAGATTTAAAAAAAAAATTGGAATTTCAAAGTGCTGCCTGATTGCAACACTGCCAATTAATGGTTAAACATTTTTTTTCTATTTGATTTGTTGAATCGAGTTAAGTAACTCGATGTTTAAGAATATTTATACTATTCTATTAAAAATTGTTGGTGTTCATATATATGTAGAGAAAGTGTATATAAGAACATTTTTATTATAGAAATGATTGTTAATTTATTTTGAAATTATGGCGCCAGCTGTTATGTGTAAAAAATGCTGTGCCAACATGTGTATAAAGTTTTTCGCCAAATAAGTTTAATATAACAGTCATTCCTCAAAGCAACAAAAAAATGTTTCTAATTTTCATTCCCCCTCCCCCCCCCAAAAAAAAAGAATGCAAACCTATTTTAATGCAAAAATTGTGAAATTTATTTAATTTTAAAATTGTCATCAGGGGCCGTACAAATATTATGTTAGTATGTTTTTTGACAATTTTGGACTTCCCCTCCCAGTCCCAATAAAAATAAGTAAATTACAAACTCCTTTCCATGCTTGCGTACGCAGCAAGTCCCCTTCTGGTTTTTATTTTTGCTGCAGTAATCTAATTTTAGGATTAAATTCAAATAAACTATGTAACATTACATAGAACAAAATGTACGTTTTAATTCCTTTGATAAAATTTTGAGCAAAGTATTTTTTAGGAAATTCTTGTGCGTTGTTTTAGTGTTCAAAACTTTTGAACCCTGAAACTCCCCAGAGAAAAATTTTTTTCCACTTTTTCCTTATTGATCTAATATTTTGTTACCCATATTCCTTTTTTTTACACATTTACTTCGCCTTTTTTTGCTCTCACCTCACCTTCCCCCTTGTCAGTAAAATTAAAATAAGCAAATCACATACACTTTCCTCCTCTTACGCGCTTGCGCATTGTTTGAACGGCCCCACCAATTTATATATGTTTCAAAGTACATTTTAGTACAGGATGAGCAGTATTTCAGCCAGGATTAAATACTAAAGAAAAATTAAAACTAAGAATCCCAAAAAATCAACAAATTGAAAGAGATTGGGTAAGATAATAATAAGCCACATTTAAAAATTAATCAGAAGAGCGTCTTCGATAAACGAATCAAAGATTTCTATGTTACCATTCACTTTATTATACTGTTATTCAGTAAAAATTCTCTGGTTATTCAGTGAAAGTATCTATCTGAAAGCATCACTGAAGATCAGTCTAATGTGAAAATATTCCCTTTCGAAAAAGTGTGGATTATCACTTTATTACTCCTCTACTAAAAAGTAGAAATAAAAAGTGGTTGCAAATTTATGAATTTGTCTGATAATTTATTGTTTTCGCTACCGTTTCAGCTTATAAAAAATCTTGCCAGGAAAATGTTTATTCTAATCTTATGAATTTTTCTAAGAACTAATAAAAAGAAAGTCATTTTTACTATTTTTTCTTTTAAATATTTTATCTGCGATTTATGCCTTTATTTCCCAATATGGCCTCGAAGTAATGCAATAAAAATTATTCTCAATTGTCTTGATCTATATTTGCCTTATCCATTAAAATTTACTTTAAAAGAAAGCTGATTCGAAAGCTGGCACATTTTTATCAAAATCTGTAAAAATCTTAAGTACAAAGCAGGCAACCGATATTTGCCTGTTCTTTGATCAGTGTGATGTGCAATAAAAATTGTTTTCCTATTCATTAAGCAAACATTGCATTTAAAATATCATTGAGGATATTAGGTATGCTGATTTTGTTTAATGGAATTGTGTATTGTGTTTCTATCATTTGTATCATATTTCTCAGATATATTTACTGTTGCAGCTCATTTTTTTGTGGTACTTAAATAAATACTACGATTTATTTCGTTTAGTTTTTCTTACATTTTTTATATGAACATTACACATTTGTAAGTAAGACAATATGCTTTTTTTAATACCGTCGTTGAACAGACGACCCAATTTTAGGTTTACGACTACTAATCTTCAACTCCGTATCCTTGTAATTTTGAGCCCGATCCGGAAGACAAGGGAACTCCTGGTATTGGGAGAAATTTGCCTTCGTGGAGGACTTTTTGATGAAACTAACCCGCATTTACTTTACATGGAGAGGAAGACCACGAGAACCATCCACGGTTAGCCCGACAAAGGGACTCTCACCCATGATCCGTCTACCATTGAGAATATTTCACGTCAGCACTGTGTTCGGTGCAAGTCGAATGCGGATTCGTATCGATGAGCCATCGCCGGGATTCAAATTCAGTTCACCTCATTGGAAGGCAAACGCTTTATCCCCTGAGCCATCGCGGCTCAAGACAATATGTTGACGTTTATCAGAAGTTAAAGTTGTTATTTGAAAGCTTTGTTGTCGAAAAAAATAACGTTTTTTTCCCCTCCATTTTTAACCAGCACCCTCTCTGCTAACTAAAAAGATCACAGTTTTGTAGAAATTGAAAAACGTTTGTAATTAAGTTTTCTACATACAAAAAGTAAAAAGCTACTCCGCTGCATTATTTGGGTTCATGAAAATTTGGAAAAATTGAGAATTATTCATTAATTTTAATGATTTCTCCTAAGATTTTTAAGAAATTTTAATAACTTCTAAAATGTTTAAGTTATTCGCTCTGAAGTCCAGATAATTCCTTACAGCAAGATGGTATATGATTTTAAAATTATTATTATGATTCTAGTGCAAGAGAACAAAACTGGGGCTGTTTTACTTTACTTGGCGAAGGAGCTTCGAAAAGAGGAATTGTTAAAAAACTGGGGCGAAAGAGTATCGTGTAAAAAAGCAGTTTTTTTTTCTTGTCTTTGTCACTGACAAAATAAATTATTTCTTTCTGATGTGACACTGACTAAATAAAAAAAATCGCTTTTTACAGAAGCAATGATAAAATCGAAAATTATTAAATAAAGAAAAAAATTTCTTACATGATAGTTTTCTTTTGCGGTACTGATAAAATAAAAAATGAATATTTTGAGATGGCATTGGTTAAATAGAAAATCGATTTCCAATGGAGCAATGATGAAATAGAAAATTCATTTTCTAATGTGACAATGATAAAACAGAAAATCCTTTTTTAACGTGGTATTAATAAAATAAAGGACAATATTCTGATGTGGCAATGATAAAATAGAAAGTAACCTAACTTTACAATGGTTTAACGGAAAATTATTTTCTTTTGTGGCACTAATAAAAAAAATACTATTATGTGACATTGGGGTAACTAGAAAATTAATTTCCGATATAGCAATGATAAACTCATTTTCTAATGGACAATAATAAAACAGAAAATCTTTTTCTTACGTAGCACTGCTAAAATAGAAAATAATTTTCTAATGTGGCACCAAAAATGATTTTTTTTAATTTTGCATTAGTAAAATAAATAATTTTCTCATGTGTCACTGACAAGAATTTTTTCCTAGTGTGGTACTGTTAAGATAGGAATTAATTTTGTAGTGCAACCATAATAAAAAAAAAAACAAATTCTGTTCCTGATGTGGCACGTATAAGACTATTGTGGCACAATGATTCTTGTCAACAACATCGAAACAGCTATCATAAATTTAAGACTTACAATTATGCTTCATAAGTTTGTTGCTCACTAATACAATATAAACTACAATCCCTAAAAAATATGCATTTATTTGATCAAAAACAGATTTTGAAAACAATTCTTGTCGCCTTGTACAATGCTAACGCTTGCAAAATGCGCCAAAGCTTGCAAGATACTATTCATTCATGTCTTCAGAATCCGGAAATTCAAATTCACATTTGTCTAAAAACGAAATTTCAAAGGAAAAAAAAAATACTCAAAAAGTGATTTGTTTCTATCACAAAAGATGATACCTGCGTTTCAAAGAATAATGACTTTTCTGTCAACTTCAAAGAGCAGGTACCTTGACTTATGCCCCCCCTGAGGAGCGTCCTTATCCTTCTAACGACGCCTTATACTTTTTATTTATATTTTTTATTCGATCGAAAATCACCTGTGACTTCAAGTGACCTGTTCGCCCACGCGCCTCGTGTCACATGCTCTTCAAATTTGACAGGAAGTCGAAGCAACACAAATTGTCAAGATAGGTTTGCTATAGTTTGGCATATTTCATAAAGATGATGGGGACAATGGATTTCGATTCATGCTGCCACAATTGTCGCCAATCGTTGTGAATTAATTTTTCTTGGTTTAAAATGAGGCAAGCATGTGACATGACAACAAACTATGGAAATTGTGATAAAACATAATGTTATTTTATGTTTTAAAAAAAGTATTTTTTCAATAAAGTGTTTTATCATACATATCATTCAGCGGGTATTGAATTGATATTTACTTGCACGTATTATCCCAAAAAGTTTTTTCGAAGATTTTTCGCCAACTAATATAAAATAGACCCATTTTAAGAGCAGTTAAGTGAAAGCATCACCTATTATTTTAAACTGTAAAATATCATCTTACCGTAAAGAATTAACTTGGTTTTAGAATGAATGGATAGCTTAGATAATTATATAAAAAAAAGGAAAAATTACGAAATTTTAAAAACCACCAATTTGGTAAGATTTTTCGAGTCAAAATCAATGAAAAATTCTCAATATTTGCAAATTTTCATGCTCCCACACAATGCAGCATTAAAGTAACGTTGGCATTTTTTTTTCCTTTTAAAGAAATTAAAGCACTTACTCTTATCATTTTCCAAAAGGTGGCTTTTTATCAGAATTACGCTTTGGGTAATATTTATGATTAGCACAGATGGCGCAGGCTAAGTAGGCTGAACTTTAACAGTCATGAATAATTGTTACGAACGCACAACAGTAATAGAAATAGCTTACTATTCACTTAAAAAAATTTATCTCTGGTGATCACAAAGCATTTGAAAAATAACCTTAGTACGATATTAATATGTTATTATAAAATCTTCAAAAAAGAAAAGAAAAATAAAAACGCTAAATTTCGGAAGCATTTGAAAAGTTTCTATTTACTTATTACAATACAATCGGAATTTTTTACGAACTCTTTCCAAGGTAAAGAGTCTTTGATATTAGATTGGTTTATAATTGCTGTTTCTACTCTTTGGGCCTGGATGGAAATCACTTCATACTTTCAATGAAAGGGTTTCGTAGTAATCCTAAGGACCGCAATACAGGTATGCAATAATTCATTTATAAGATGCTGTAACATGTATATTTGTAATTGGTATCTATCTCATTTTACTGGGACATTATCATACCTTCCTTGTAACGAAATAAGTTTCGAATATAAAACTTTGTTCTGAATTATAACAGTGAAATGTTTTTAAAAGTACCAAGTGGATTATTATTTTAAAATCAATATCACATTTTCATCCACTTATAATCATAAGAAGTTCGAA